TGAAATTTTTAATCTTCTTTCCACGAAATTTGGAAGTTTTTCATTTTCTCTCTGAAATCTTGAGATCTTTCCTCTGAAATTATGAAACTGTGATTTTCAATTTTCATTACATAAAACTTAGTAATTTTGTAATTTTCAATTTTCATTACATAAAACTTAGTAATTTTGTAATTTTCAATTTTCCTTCTCCGAAATTTTAAATCTAGAACTTCAAAACCCCCCGAATTTAATTTCAGAAACATCTGAAACCTCCGCAGAATCTCTCTTCGAAGAACGTAAAAGGTATAACAGAAGTTAGCCTTTCTCGAACCACCAAAAAAATAAAAAAAAAATCAAATTAAAGGAGAAAAGAGAAATGGATGGTATTTAATAAGGACATGGTACGTGGTCGATAATACGAAGTAGAATCGATGGTCGTCTATTTCTCGTAAGAGCGTTCAGGTGCGCGTGTACAACAGAAAGGAAACAGGAAATCGTGCTCGAAATGACTTGCCCACCGACAAATCCAATTTTATCGCGGTCCTTGGTGAATTACCCACGAGGAAACTCGTCAAGGGAGCTCGTTGGGAAATTCGATTTCGCGGTAATGACTATACCCAGCATTGGTTGTCGTTATGGTGAAACTTTCGCGATAAAGCTCGATCTGGAATGTGCTTGGCCGACGCGCACGGAATTCGTCATTCCGTTTGCTCCAATGGTCAGATTCGATGATTTACCAGCTGTTACGAACATTTCCCAACCCATAAATCGCGTGAACTGTACCGACTAACCGTTCCAACCGTTATCTTTCAATTTTCGAATCGTTCATTTCTGATATCTGCTTGGAATAAATTATTGGAAACGCTTCGAACACGGAAATTCATCGTTTACACATTCTGCTTTCTACTGTTTCAGACTTCCAGAAGCTCGAACGTGAGGCACGGATATGCAGGAAGTTGCAGCATCCAAATATCGGTGAGTTTTGTATATCTTTTTTAAACATTCTCTTACAATTTTTTTTATTTGGATTCCGATTCTTGTCTCGTATCTTAATCATGATTTACATCACCAGTGTGGTTTTCTATGACAAGGTAAAGGGTTAACATGTTTCTTATCGTGAATTTTATTAGTATTTTAGAACGAAGTTAGAAAGTCGTGTATTAAGATATTTAGTTATAGAGAAATGTTGATTATTTAGGCTTCGAGTGTAAGAATATTCTTTTCTTCCCGATACAAGCTCCATTCTAGGTCAAATAAGAATTCAATAAGTATTTAATTTCCATCGAAAATGGAGAAAATATTGAAACTCAAGTAGAGCCAGTAGATTCGGTCGTTTTTGGTCAGACACGACTACCTACCTTCTCTTCACATTACTCTTCACTTTAACATCGAAACTACCCCCAATTACCATTCGCACTTCCTCTAATAAGTTCCCCAACACTCGACAAATTCCAAATAACTACAAATTCCTACAACATAAAACAAAATTAGTCCAAAAATCGAGCAACAATTCTCATCAACGACCACCCAAAATTCTCAATAAAAACCGCGATCCACAATAAACCAAAGACAGCTGTTCTTTCGCGACGGAGAAAATTGCCCAAGTAAAAGCTAAAAGAGAAAGCAGTAAACTGGATGCACTGGGTGCAGCGTGAAATTAGGGTGGTATAAATTTGCCCGCGGTTCTATTAAAGGACCGTTCACTTAACCGTGACCGGCCAAAAGGAAGTCTTACACAGACCGTGGAAATATATTCATTGGAGCGTTGGCTAAAGGGCACGTGGAAGCTCTTCATCGACCACCGCCGTCGTCGTCGACGTCGCGTGGTCGCGACCTAACGATGGAAATTATAAATGGGGGAATAAGCAACGGGCCAATATTGGAATCCAATAAAGCACAGCCAGGAGAAAACCAAGTAGTCTGTGTGTGTGTGTGTGTGGAAAGTGAATAAACGGCTAGCATGCAGAGATCGAACCGAAGAATTCTTTTCCTCGCCTTTACACTTGTCCAGCTTCCTTTCGTTCAACCCTACCAACGCATTCTTCCACCCTCCTCTATTTCTCTCCCTTGGTCCCGTTTTTCTCTCCCCGGCTCTCCTCTATTTTTTTCGTCTCGTGCCGCCATTTCACCGCCGGTATTGTGTTCCCAAGGGAACTCGTCGATGTTTGCCCCGGGGAAAGCCCGTGGCGAGCCTTAGAATTTTCCACCGTGGCGAGCCTTAGAAAATCGATGTCCGAACCGATGAAATTCACCGTTCGAACGATCCTCGATCGCGAATAAATCGCGGTGTTGTATGTCGTTTACCGGTGGTTCTTTTTTTTTTTTTAGAAATACTTCTGTGGGTATTATCGGGTTGTAGAATTGTGCTGGTTGTTTGAAATGGTCGGAGAAGAGGAGTTTGGAGAGTGAGGGAGGGACGAGAGGCAATTTGCAGCATCGATAATATGGTTTTAGCTGTTGGGACATTTAGGCTCTCAAAGGTCAACATCTCTCTCTCTCTCTCTCTCTCTCTCTCTCTCTCTCTCTCTTTCTAGGTTGCTTTGGACAAGACAGGCGTATAGACAGGATTACGTTTGGGATTATGGGATCTCGATGTAACCCTCGGCCATTAAACTGCATCAGCTCTCGTTAACTGTCCTCCCTGGTTCGCTACTTTCGACGAACCTTACACAGCCTAGGTTCTGCGAACACTTCGCCTTTGGAATTTTCCGTGAAGTTTGTGGAAATTGATGTGTACTCTGGGGGAAAATTGAAGCTTTCAGGGAGCTGGATTTGCGTTAGTAATTTCGTTACGTAAAGGTGGAATTTTTGTTTGGTTATGAATGGTACCTGGTGATTGAGGTGAGTTTATGTAAGAGTGGAAAGTTGGAGGGTATTATCAGGTGGAAATAGAAGTATCCAAGTGAAATTTATTTTATCTTAGAATATTATAGAGAACAAAAAATTTGTAGATTGTGCCGAGGATTGAAAGTAAAATCGCGCGGGAAATTCGAATTCTAATTTCTGGAAAAAGAGTGAAACAGAGTTCAAAGAAACACGAAACAATAGAGAAGCTGTTAAATCTGCGAAAATATAAGTGAGAAATAAAAGGTAGGATAGTTGAGGTGGACTTCGTAGCGAGTGTAGGGGAGTAGGACTTAAAACGTACGACGTGATGGGGTGATATTTACCTGAAAAGTGGTTCAGTAAACGACCAAGTTAATTTCCAACGAAAATTAACCATCCATTCTAACACCGTCAAGACGCTATTCTCACCGCTTGCGCGCACCCCCGTCGTATATTTCAAGTTTACGCGTTCACACCCTGCTATACTCCTGTCAAACACACAACGTGCCCGTATCCAACCGAATTCACCTACTTTCTCTGCCGATATTATGCATGAAATCCTCTTTCCACTTATTCAACGTTACTCCGGAATTCTACCGTACCCTCGTACAATCACCAAAAATACAATTCGCACAGTTAATCCGAACAGATACTATAAGTGCCTTTAAAACAATATTTTCTAATACACAAAGTTAATCCTTTCACTGTAAACCGCCTATAGGCGCTTTGAAAATTGTTTCCTGCTGTAACCTTAGCGCCTATAGGCGGATTGGATATTTTCTCGCGCTGCGACCTTGGCGCCTATAGGCGGTTCGAATATTTCAAAATTTTAATTTTGCAATTTATCCTTTGTAAAAATTAAGATGAAGGTAATGAGGAACCAAGGCTTGAATTAAGGTGTGCCAAAAAGCGTAAATAGCACAGTGCGAGAAAATATTCGCACCGCCTATAGGCGCCAAGGTCACGGCGCGCGAAAATATTGAATTTGAAAATTTTTTAAAAATCTCCATTAAGAAGGAGACAAAGTTTCGACAGACATTTCACAGGGTAAACCGCACCGTACCAAAACTCTCGGAGAAGAACGCGACGGGCGCGTCTTCGGAGGAGGCTGGGTATCGTTGTTTAATGCTGGTCCGATGGTAGTTTAATTCCTCGAGAAAATTAGCATACGTCGGAACATCGGCGTGCCGGGCACGATCGTATATTCCGGGTTTATGCCTCCGCGTCGCGGAAACTATACGGTCCGCCACGTACACGCGTGCAGACCACGGCGGAAACTTGGTCCTGGAGTACAAGTACGAAAGTTCCGCGCGCTGCATGCTCGTTTATGGCTACTATAAATCTGACATATGCACGCCGCTCTAGCTGTGCTCGCTACCTTTCCTCCACGCCGACCCACCTTTTTACGTCTCCTTTCTTCCCTTTCCTTCTTTACCACCCTTCAACTGCGAAACGCGTACACGTACACTGTCGTGTGTCCATTAACCATTTTTCCACTAGGAATATTCTTTCGTACGATCGATTAGCTACTTCGACCTGTAATTCTTTCGCGGTGAAACTTTTCAAATTTATTTATTTTTATTTCTTTTCTTAACCCTCTATGGGCTGAATTTTTTTCTCGACGTAAAATTAAAAAATATCGTCCTATAAATACAGAATAACAATGAATTCAGCAGTTTCAACAATTTTATTATAACGAATACATATTGAAGTAACAGCGGTTATCAAGAAAGTTACTGGTTAATAAGGAGACATTGTGCAACAAGGCGTTTACGCCACCTTGTGGAAAAAAGTTCAATTATTTAATAAAATATCGATATATTAGTATGTGACTTGAAAGTTACACGGGCCCATAGAGGGTTAATTCGCCTTTTGCAAAAGGTGCAATTTTCTTTCACTCTTCACGTTGCGCTATTCTTTCTATTCTACCGCAAAAATCGAAGTCACAGCGTTGTGAATAAATGGGAAACTTGTTTCTGTACGCCCAGGAAATAATTAAAAATAAATAAAATTGACAATTTTTGACACGTAAAGTTGAGAAAAATGTGAACGTTAAACTAGGTTACTTCCGCTCCCTTCCTCCATCGTCTATCCCTACATAAAGAAAGGTTTCCTTCTTACACACCCACTTAGTCTTTTCCTCCGTCACGTTAAACCCGTATTATCGCATTCTTGCGTAAGTTCTCTTGTCCCTATCTTTTTCTAAATTTAAAAATAAATTCAGCCTAACCATCGCAATTCCGACTTTTCGTTTCACCGACACTGGAAAATCGCGTTGCACACAGCGATCAATTTTCCGTCGAAAGCGTGCCATAGTTGAAGGGTTAACTATCATTTCGCAGACAGAGTGACTGGGTTTCCGGCGAAGTTTCGTGCTCGAGGGAATATTTCGAATAGAGCTGTGAAAGTTCATCTTGGAAGATCTCGCGAGCTTGATTTGCAAGCTGCGCCGTAATGCTTGAAGGACACTTGGACAGGTAGATTTAGGGGTTGCCGGTGATCCAGCAACTGTTAGCCCCTCCTGATGGTTTAATCCTGTGCGGTTTATCCGCGCGATAGATCGCCTCCGTTTGCTTTGACTTATTTCCGCTGGCAGGATAAACTTTCCGGATTAATTCTGTTATTATAATGTTAATCTTAGGTGTTCTACGAGCGTAACGGAAGTGGTTTCGTACTACGAATCCGGCTGATTTAATTCTTTAATTAAAAGAGACGAGTTCGCTGGTCATCGGGAAGTGATTCTGCCTGGTTTCAACGTATATTGAACATCGCAACGCGATAAAACGTGGAATTTTCTTTGCAACCATTTCTACGGAATTTAATAATTCCGTAAATGAAACGTTCCTTATCAAACGTGAAGAGCGTTTCACTCTCGCGAAAATGTTTTAATTAAAATTAGAAAGGTTTGTTCAAATTATTCGTAAAATGTACAATACTTTTCTGCAACCTATTGTGTAAATACGAGAACGAGTTTTTAATCTCAGGGATTGTTAATATTAATGAAAAGAGTTTGACGTGACGGACAGGCACATTTACCCCCTTAAAGGGTTAATCTTCCGTGCTTATCCGAGGGAAATTCGAAGGCATTAGCTAATGAAATTTGACTTGAAAAGTCCTGCCGTTATGCCCACACGCAGCTTTCCGCGATA